ATCAAAATTTACAAAAAAAAAAGAGCTTAATATTTATTTCTTTACTTCATTAAACATTTCTTTCAATGCAAGTTGTTTAAGTTGCTTCGTTTTATGTGATAATACTTTCTCTTTAATTCTATAAACAGACATAATTTCTTGTTCAGTTACAAAGTTCCAAGTCCTATAATTGCTGTGCCGAGAATACCGACTAATTTGTCAATCGAAATTTTTTCGTTTTCACTAACCTCTCTGTCAACTTCTTCATGTCTTTATCCATTTTTTGCAGCAATTCCACTTTTTGTTTGATGGACATCGAAACATACTTTCGTTTTGTACGATCCTGTGGGAGCTCCAGAATCGGAAATTCTATTTGACATAATCGAAAGTTCAAGTTTACTTTTATAAAATTGCTCTTACAGTCTGCAAAAAATAATAAGCCGGATCCAATTCGAGGATTAAGGTACAACGCAATCATCACCATTAACTGAAGTAGATAATTAGATAGTTTTAGCTTATACCATCCGTTATATGTAAAACGCGCACGCGAAAACGTATTCTGCGCTTGCGCAGTCGTGAAAGGTCTTACGCGCATGCGTAAACGTCTATGCGCATGTTTCAACGCGGCGCATGCGCAGAAAGTTTTTAGCTTTGAGGTTGGGATTATAGATCATTCCAGATTATGGGTGTCCGAATTAACGACTTTTGACTGTACTATGTAATTTCATGCTTCTCTTAACACGAAAAGATATCCTTTCTGGAAATGAACAAAATACAGAAAACACTGGCATCGCTGGCGAGATTTAAGCGGGGTGTGAAATGAAAGAGAGGTGTTTTCACATGTTTCGTAGAAAAGAGGCTAATTTGACTTTGAAATACCCTCGAAATAGCCTGTGACACGAGCCAGTTTTGTTTATCTATGGACTTTCGCCTTCCACGTCTACAAACGCCACACAAACATCTCGTCTCTCATCAGTTAGCTTTGGAATTCGGGTGATGAGTACATGGCAGTGTGAGTAAAAATTAGTGAGTTTGGCTCATATGTTGCTGTCACTCTGTATGAGAATTCAAGCGACTCCAAGGACGAATGGAAAATTTATTTTCATTACACACGATTCTCAAAAGTATCAGATTCTTTGGCTCGCAAAAGAAATGGAGAAGTAGGATGTCGAAAACTGAAGCTGACACTTAATGAAATGTTTGAGAAAGTTTCTGTATTAATGGAACTGTCCTACTGTACTATCATGAAGAAATTCGTTGCAGTAGTTTATGATAATGTGTGTACAGCCCCAATTATCGCAGACAAAGTTATTTTGGAGTTTGTTCAAAGCTAAAAAAGATATCATTGATGCATATTCCGACGATGAAAATGAAATGAATGATGCAGCTTCTGTTCCCACATGTCATCCGAAATGAGAGGAACATCATGAAAAGTATGCGACAGTTATTTAGACGCACATTCCAATGGTAAAATGAATAACAAAATGTTTGACATTGAACAATTTGATGCTAAAAAAGACAATGCAAAGAAAAATATCAGATTATTTTCCCAAAACTCAATAAATGTCTTGTTTTTCAAAAATTTGAAAATTTTGTATTAAATTTCATTAAGTTCTTGAGGATGTTTTTTCGTTTCATTGATTTTTATTAAATACATACACATCTCTGCAAATAAAATGTACTCTAATAAACTTAATTTTGTTGAATATATGTTTTTTTTTTTTCAATATTCCACAAAAAAGTATTTCAGTCCCCTCAGTTTTGTGTTAAATGATTTTTACTGTGTATCTATTGCACATAAATCCCTTTCTTACATAAAATATATATGTATGTACTATAAAATAACTAAATAAATTGTAAAGGAAGTTTAATTAGCAACTATGAAATCTTAAAAAAGTACATAGAATGAAATTTATAATGGCAAACATTAAAAATAGATGAAAGTAAATAAAATTTAAATTATAGAATGTACTTTATAAAATTAATAATAAGTGGTTAAAAATATATTTTTAATTACTTAAAACATGGAAGTTATTTGGCAGAGATTGTTGGATATAAAATTACTACTTCAAATTTTCAGATTAATATTGTTCATATTTAAAGTCTCAACTTGCAGTCTTAATCCACATAACAACCATTGTAAAAATCACCCATTATCATATTCCAAAGATCAGCAGCATACATTTTTTTCAAAATCGTGCATAATATTAAATATTGGCTTTTGATAGTCAAGTTGATACAAATAAGATGAACTGTTTTTATGATTTTAGACTAGTAGTTTATTCTTCCATTCACTTATTACAATATTTCATTTTTTATATGCTCGGCTATCCAAAATTTCAAGAGCTTTCCGGATATTTTTTTTGTCGAGTTTTTACTATACATACATTTCAGCATTTACATCGTCAAAATTACACAGACACATACTTGAAGTGAATTTACTTTTACAGCTAAACACAGGAACTGGAAAACAAAAAAGTACTTATTCGGAGATTGTATTTCTTTTTCGTTCATGAAAATCAAAGTTCATTACACAAACATGCATTCACACTGCACAAGCATGTATGGAAATTCTTAATACATTTAGTAATCCTGATAATTGTTACGCATTTAGTAAATAAATCAGAAAGATATTTTAATGTATAACAAATGAATAGTAAGTAAGCTAAGCTTTTTAGTTAGTAGTTAGCTTTTAGAAGTAGTTAAGCTTTTATAAAACAGAGCATAATAACACAGTTACAAAGATATTTAATATTATAAAATTAGGTAATTTAGTAAATTTCAGTTGTTCAACAAAGCAATGAATTATGAAGTTCCTTGTATATCTTTATAAATGAACTTTATTGCTGTTTTAAGCAATTAAACAACTGTTCAAGTTATTTTAATAATTTTGAAATATATACACTAAAAGAAACAATAAAATGTATTAATCTATTTGTCAAACTTGATTTTGGCACGAAAGTCTGCAGAATGCTTCGTAGTTTTTAAGCACATAGAGGCACTGCAATTCTTATTCCTTGATCTGAAGTTTTCTGCAATTTTTTTTTTTTTTAAATTTAAATTGCTGTATTGGCACACATATAATTTTTGTATAGTGGCTTCAGATGTGGATAAGTTTTTCGAACACTTTCGTTTATTTTACTGGCGTCGCTGAATTTTGCGATGAAATGCAGCACATTTATTGCCGAGTATCACCTTCCAAATTTTTCATACTGTTAATGTATACATCAGCAGTGAATTATTCTCCTCTTTCCTCAAATACACTACGGCGTTAAACAATAACCATTCACTAAAGATTTTGCGTAAATTCCCACTCATAATAATTTAAATTGCGAAAATCTCACAATTAGCACCTAAACACACTATTCAGCAGCACAATTCTTTCGAAAGCGCGCCGTAGTAGTCAAAAGTGGGGTAGGCGTCTTGCCAGGTGAAACTAGTCGATATTTCCGTGACGTCAAAAATTTGAAAAGTGGGGTAGGGTTTGGAAATACGCGGAAATACGGCCATCGGTTTTATATCTCCGCTTACTGCTCCTCCTGTAATCTGTAAGTTATGAAGATTATTCCGATGTTTATATCTATCCTCGACTTGCAACGAAAGTTTCCCTGGTGTCACATGTTTCTATCTGAATGTGATTAAAATTTCTTCTTACTTTTTTCCATTAATATTTGTTCAATTTTCATATAGAAATCCATACAAAAAGTTGTTTTTTCATCTCCTCTATTTTATTATTTCTAGAACGGATTATTCTAGTTGCAGAGTTTTTTGTAGTTGTAGTTGCTGATGACACTATGTTTTCTTTATTCTTGAGAATTTTTCTTATTGTTGAAGTTGAAAAGTTTAATGCAACACCAATTTGACACTGACGTCCACCACTACCTAATCTTCTAAGCACTTGCATTTTAGTTTCTAGCAAAATGCTTTTTCTTGTCACTTTATTTTCGTGTTTCTTATTATCACTCATATTAAAAAATAAAAATTGGGTACTTTTCCGTTTCGCCGGCGAAAATCTCGCCAAGCAGACTTTATTGGCAACAACACACGGTATACACATAAAATATGTTAACAAATGTTAGTTCTAAGGATTATTTTTTTACTTTAAAGGCATAAACATTTTAATATCATTTAAAATTTTGTAAAAAGGTAATAAATAAAAACAATAAATTCGTAAAACGAAATTAATTTAAGAATTTACTATGCTTTCATGCTACAGCATCCTGATTCGCCCGGTTCATATCACGTGACTCCGAGTGATCTCATCTCACGTAAACTAAGCTACAGTGCTTTACTTCGCTAGTGCATTCGCATTAGAATTGATGAATTTAACCCTTTACTCGGCCTTTTCTGTATTTTCGCCTTCGGATGAGCGGTGTGATTGCATCCTCATTGACTTAACTACAGCGAACGGTCGTAGGGCATAAAATTGAACTATCTGGTAAAATTTCTATGCAATTTTATGCCAGTATTGAAAGAAATAATTAATCTGATAAGAAATGGCTGAGACCTGTTTCGAAAATGAGGCGTGAAAGGTTACCAGCGAGGATATTCCGTTTGGCATCCGTTGTACAATTTTCGGCGACTTTATGGCCTGCTCCGGCAAAACGGAAAAGTATCAAAAATTGTAATACTTATCACTTTATCAATCATTACATTACATAAATTTATACTTATATAACAGCAAAAATTGTTTGAAATAATAAAATTTATTTTTGTGTAGCACTGTAGAGAAGACGCAATGAAGATAAATTACTTTCGATTTCGGGGACGCCCAATGTTTCGCGTAGATTTCAGGGAATCTGGCTATTTCACTAAAAACGCGTTAAACCAAAACAGCTCTAAACGCGGAGCAGCGTTAAGCGGAGTCTTACTGTATATGCAATATGCCGATTACGAAACGATTTTTTGTCGATCTCTCAGAAGTTTGAAAAACGATCTCTCAGAACTTTGATAATAATATAAAAATAACTTGGCGACAAATGGCAACAACTCATTGTTTATATTTAATATTTATATTTTGAGTATGGGAAACGTGAGGAATGTGAGTGCACATTTCTGAATCTAAATGGAAATTTGAAAGGATGTTATAAAAATTTCTTGTCATGGATCGAAAACAAAGCAGTCTTTGTTTTAAAGCTTTAGAATTAATTGAAGTGACGACTCGATTATGGGGCATTCTTAGCATGATTGGTAAGTAAAATATCGAAGGTAGTGTAGAAATGTGGCGTAGTTTGTTTTCTAGAATTCAAGTTTATCATTTCTTATGTTCTGTGTGATTTAAAATTATTCTTGAATCATTAACGAAAACGTTCAAAAGGTGTATCATATTTTAAATTTAAAGTAATTTAATGGGCTTCATACTTAATATTTATCTAAAACCTTACTTCGAAATTTTATTAACTAAGACAAAGTATGTATTCACTTTTCATTGTGCACGCATGCTTTTGCGTATATGCGAATTTAATTTAGTTCAATTTTTTTATCCGGAATATAAATAATTCAATAGAACAAAAGGACCTTAAAAGTTTTTATACTCTTAACCTTAGTGTTTAGCTTTTTGAAATTTACATGAAAGAGTATGAACTCTGTTAAGAAATATTGATGGATAAAATATGCACTAAGTAGTGATAATTCCACAAGACTGTAATATAATTGACAATTTAAAGCTTAAGCGAGAAAACATAAATTTGCACTCAGCTAAAAGCAAAATTTACTGTGAAAAATAGTACTGTTCTGTTATCAGTGACTGGATTCGGAAATGTATGAATGGATGTATGTGTTCATGTATGCATGTGTATAGAGTAAAAGTGTAAGCATGAATGTGTGTATACATATACACATACATACCGAATACCGAAAAAATACTTACCGAATAATGACATCATAATTACCAAATAATAATAATGAGTCATAATGGAAGTACCAAATTATTGACATCATGATAAAAGTTTTCCTCCTCTAATCTGCATCGAAGTAAAAAAGCAGACGATTCACTCAACTCTTCTTTTAAGTTCACGATTCACGTTGTTGTATTTTCTGAGCTTTGTTATTTCACGAAATTATTTAGTGCTGCCTTTTTTTATCTAGATATTTAGTGGATAAATTAAGAAATATTTTTAATTTCATCCCTTTTTAATACAATTACAGATGAGAAACGCACTCATGATTTTAGTGCTTGCAATGTTGAAAAACATTGCATTGACGGTAATGCAAAAAGTGAAAATTCTGCAAAAGATGGAGGCAGATGCTACTCCTTGGTTTATAGCAGAATCGTATGGAATTGCAACATGATTATGTATGATATACGGACAAATAATGAAAAGCTGTTGAAATTTTACAGCAACAGTGATTCTAACACCGGAATTCAAAACCGGAAATCTTTGCATGAGGCGAAATCGGCAAGCCTCGATGCTGTGTACATATGAACAATATAATCGGTTTATATATGTAATAATATTTTAATGCATATAATAAGTTACTGCAATAATGTATGTAATAATTTAATTAAATGTATCTAATACGCCTTATTTATTTTGCACTTTTAGTCTGAATATTATGATTTATCTTTTCTGTCCTGAAATCCGCAAAATTTTAAATTGCGCACAACCTCTGGTCCCAGGCTTTGCGGATTTCTGGACTTCTACTGTTGTACATAAGAAATTTGAACCATTTCTCTGTTGATGGATAGTATTGTGCCTGTGTGAAGTGAGAAATAAATTTGTTCAATTTAATAAATAAATAAGAAGAAGAATAAATTCATTTTTGAAACACTATCATTCTTTTGAGTACTTATGCATTTTTACAGTTTTTTAAAGATGAAAAGCTACTTATTGGGTAGAAGTTGCTGGTTTTTGTGCCCTTTTTTTTTTTTTAGAAAGATCTCAAAACTATCGATATTTATGATAAGTTGGTAAAAATTATCAACATATGAAAAGAAAACATACTTTAGCAATTTAAAACATTAAAAAAATAAAATGCTTACATTCTTCTTCAAATCTTTCTGTAATTTTTTTGCTTTATTCTTCTCCCAAAGTATACTGTGCTCTCTTTTAAAAAAAAAAAAAAAATCAGAGAATTGTGGAGACTTTGCATTGTGCAATTCCGACAACAAGTGGCTATCTAGAAAATGCTGCCCTCATTGTTCCCTTAAAAAAATTTTCAGCAAAATTCTGTGCTGATGTAGAAATTTTACTGCAGTTTCTTCCATTGCTGCCAAATTCTGCAGGCTGATATTTTAAAACTAAGACAAAAAATATGTTTATAAAAACCATTTGAACTTGAAATCCAACCACGCTGACAGCTTGGATACACAACATTATAAGGAAAGTTGCCTTTAAGACATACTTGACGGCATTATGAACAATTGTCATACTTTGAGAAGGGTCACATCATAGGACTTAAAGAGGCTGGTTAGTCAAACAGACAAATTAGCTGGCATATTGATCAAAGCGATATGGTCATTGTCTCGTGTTGGAACTAGTGCCTCAAACCCATAATCAGCTGCAATAGTGCCGAGTTACCAATGCATGAGATGATCTTAAATTAGAAGAGCTGCTATGTTTGCATGAACAGTTACACTATCATCGATTCAACGCCATTTGCCAACTCATTGGGACCCAGAGATATGATTCACAGAAGACTAGGTGAGACTTTGTTCAGATATCGATGTTCATTAAGATGCTTGCCATTGACACTCCACCATAAGCACCGTGATATATATATTAATAGTTCAGAAGAGCTGTGTTAAATGAAAATATATTCTGAAATTCAAGACATTAATGTGTTTAATTCTGTGTTAAAAATGTAAGCAACATTTATATTCAGAGCTGTGTTCTTTCTGCTGTAAAAATATTGGCCAGAGGTGTAGAAGAAAATTTGGTACAACTCTGATATACGCATTCGCGAAAACCACGTTTTGAACACACAATTTAAGCTAAAAATCTGAAACAAACAAAAAAAAAAAAAAAAAAAAAAAAAAAACAAAAAAAAAAAAAAAAACCGTGAAGTTTCTAACCAAAAAGAGAGTCCATGTACACAGCGATATGTTTTAATTTAAAAAAACATCTATGAATGGCACAATCTAGGCAACGAACGAATTTACGAACTACGCACACCTCGCTTTAATAAATTAACATAATAAATTTCAAAGAATACCATGTACACAGCATCCTGTTTCAACTTAAAAAAAAATCTGCGAATTGCACAATTTAGGCCACAAACGAATTTACGAACTACGCGCACCTCACTTTAATAAATTAACATAACAACAATAAATTTCAAAGAATACCATGTACACAGCGTTCTGTTTCAACTTTAAAAAACATCTACGAATTGCAGAATTCAGATGGTATGCATTAATCAACAAAATAACTAAAATAAATTTCAGACAATTCAAAAAAAACAATAACGACAGAAATTCATACTAAAAAAAACAATGAACATTTACATTCCACAAAGATAAGAACAAGAATATAAATAAAATGCACTTACCATTAATGCTTTTTCGAAGAGCAGATACCAATTTCATATACCGCCTTTAACATGCCGCCACGTAATCACTAGTATCGTTTATATGACAGCCACACACTATCCAGAAAATTCATACTATGGTTCACAAATAAATAAAATAACAAATAATCACAAATCCCTACTTCTATCATGCACACCCAAAATAATCTCCCATACCTTCTTTCCCACCTCCAAATACCCATTGCCCCTCAACAGGATGACCACGACGATATTTCCTTTATGCCGAACTTCAATTCAACAACTTTCACCATTAAATCTATCCCCCCTTAGCTTCTCAGACACAAGAGCATGACGGAAAAACCAACGAACTCCAGCGAAATATTTTTCAACGTCAACAGGGTTGCCATACAGCACGCAATCGCGCCAAAAACCAGCGCAGAACACATATTGCCACATTTGGTGAAATTAGGGCATATATCAGAGTTGTATCCAGAGTAGTTCCGAAAATTTTTCATAAATGCTATTTATGGCAAAGAATTGTTGTGCTATGTTCAAATTCTGTATAAGCAATCACAAGTTAATTTTTTAACTTTAATATTTTAATATTTAATATAATGTAAATGCTTGCCAAATATGGACTTGTAAAACACAATTTTGCTTATACTTTTTTTTTTTTTTCTTTTTTTTAATATTTCCCTCCATTTAATTTGTCTAATGCCAGAATTTCAATTATACACAGTGTCCTGCAGAGCTTTGGCTGCATTGTGATAATCCTCTTTAATGACTGGTTTCAAAATTGATTTGTATAAGTCAAATATTCATCCAAGTTAAATATTATTTAGAAAAGCAACACCTGAGCTCTTTCAAGTTCTTTTAATTCTTGATAACATGCCAGGATATGGTACTGAAGCTCCACAATGTTGAATCCAAATCTAGAGGTTTTTATTCGTTCCACTGCACATCATTTCCATAATCCAATCAATGCATCAAAAAATCTTTTTTTTTTTCGAACGACAGGCACTTCCTTTTCTAGTATTGGCCACTCCTAAGGCTGGAAATGATGGAGGCACCTAATAGGCAGACACCGTTACCTCCTATGAGAGGACAGACAATTTACATCCATGCCCTCTCCGGGATTTGAACCCAGGCTGTTTAGTATCTCAGTTGGCTCCCCAAACCACTATACCATCTGGGCAGCTAAAAAAATCATAAAAATATTCCAAGCCTATTATGTCAGGCATGATATACTTATGACATTTTGGAAGCAGTTCTGCATAGAAATGATTAAACTTACATGGGAAGAAGTGAATACATGCTAGCATCAGCACTGGACAGAACTTGTCAACAATTTTAATGAATTTCCATCCACTGAAAATGAAGCCAAGGAAATCATACAAATTACAAAAATAAAAAGCACTGAAGGATTTTAAGTTATGGGTACTTTTGTATTATTAGGATCGGATCCTGTACGCACATGTGTATGTATGTATGTGTTCATATATGTTTGTCTACTTATACATGCATACATATGTACATACACATGTACATAAGTGCTTACATAATCCATATACACATGCATACATACATACATTTCTGAATCCGGTCCCGACAACAGAAGAGTACCCAGGTATGAAAGAAGGAAAAACCAAAGAATGGTAAAAGTATATTTTAGGATACCTCTTGGCGAAACTTGGTGATTTTTGGCCGTACATGGATACTGAGTTTATGCAATTCTTTGACTTATTTTTTAGCTTGCATAGCGGTGATTTTTGCTCCAAAAATCATTGCTACACAAAGCCAAAATAACAAGACAAAGAATTGCACAAACTCAGTATCCATGTACACATCAACCTATTTTCACTTTAAAAAAAAATTCCTGAATTGCACAGAAATGTCATTGCGCACTCCCTTGACTTTATACATGTACACGTCAACCTATTTTCACTAAAAAAAAAAAAAAAAAAAAAAAAATCCAAGAATTGCACAAATTTGCATTGTCCTGAACTGTATTATCCTTTGTCCATGTCGATATATTTTCACTTAAAAAGTCAAAGAAGCACCCAATTCTACAATACAGGCAAACAAAAAATACATAATCTCAATAAACTACATTTTAAACCAAACAATAAAATAACATAAAAAAGGAAAAACATGTTATACATTTAAGCACTACAAAAAGCAAATATCTGCTTACCCTATTTAGAAATTCCTTCGTCTTTAGTTTGTGGCAACAAAATTCCTTAACAGCATCCAAAAACTTTCTAAAATTATCTGAACTCGAATCTTTATATCGGTGTCACCACATCTGAACCTTTCTTCCTACAAACCCATTCAAATTCATCTAAACGTTTTTTACGTTCGACTAGATGCATATCCTTCCTACATACGGGACACTTACAATGGCTACTAAGTAAAGCTTCATTTACACACCAGTCAATTAACGCTGTTTTTCCCTTTCGTTCCAAATCGTACAGAAACTTTAAATTAATCTTACTACATTCAGCCATTCCACCGTCTAAACAATAAAACTAACACACACCACAAAAACACTTACAAAACATCCCATAATTCAAAATTTCGTAGAATCGGGCTCCCGATTATGTCACAATAGGGTTTCCATAACATTCAACTTCTCAGGCTGCCATAAATGAAATGACAACTTGGCAATAAATGAAACAACAACTTCGCCATTATACAAGAGGTACCTTAAAGTCTACTCTAACTCATAGAATTAGTCTAGAATGACAGTCGTGAAATGACAAATGAAGAAGTGGATGATCGTATAACATTAGCGAATGGTGAAAACAGGGATAGCGAAAAAGATATAGAGCCTTTACTGAATAAGAAGTTAAACTGTATGTTAAAAATGGCACAGAAACTGGCTAATTTTATAATGGAGGTTGATCTAAATAAAGAAAAAAGAGGATGCTTTATGAAAAGTATTAAGAAACTTTATACTCCTTACCACAAAATTTTCAATTAATATTTGTTTCATTTTCCCCTTTTAATTAGAATAATATTTATGTAAAAATATGCATACTTTCTTAACCTGAACTGTATAACCCGTGTTTTCCATAGGAAGCCATCTGTACAGAAATGCGATTTCCCCATATGTGCAATATGTTAATGATATAACCGCTGCATTCAGCAGGGGTTTACTGAATATTTTGTGGTAGTTTAAATCACTATAAATTATTCTATTGCAAATTGAAATTGTAATTTATAAATCTGCATTTGAAAAAATTTTCCTTATGTTTTTACAGTTCAATATTACGGGTTACTGGGATGGGTAAAATAATTTCTAACTACTCTTAAATATTTAAATTTGTGAAATATAAAGAATGTATAAATGAACAAAGTGTAATTTTTCTTTGTTTATGGTAGTTTTTTGCAAAGTTTAATAAACTGGATTTTTTTCTCTTAATATAGTTATGTGGGGTGTTGGCACAGATATGACAATACATAAACATGGTTTAGGTGTATATACTTTGTAAGTATATTTTTAATTTATAATTTCTATGGCACATTTAATGAGTTTTAACACGTTAATTGTATGCACCGTTTCATTGTAATATTTTGATTAATTTGTGACTAGACAGTATTATATGTTGTTGTTATTGTTGATTATGTTCACATGTCTGACATAGTCAGCCCAAGCCCACGGAATTCATAACGGCAGTCAGTGCTAGATTACACCTGCTGTTAGCAAGAGCCTTGAGCACCATTCAGGTGACAGCATGATTTAGCTTGGTTCTGCCCCAAGGAAAGCACTCTGGGGACATGGGTCCAAGGGTCTCCCATGCCTCTCCCCTTCCACCAAACCACACGAGTGGACTTTCAGCTCGCCACATATTTAGAGTACTGCCATGGCACACCGACATTTACAAACATCCATGCCTTCTCCGGGATTCAAATCCGTTCCCTTCGGCACAGCAGTCAGCGATGCTAACCACTATACCGATGGACGGCAGCAATATTATATACTAATTGTGCATGTAGTTGGATCCACATTCAATACCCAAACAAAACAATGAATTTTTGTGACTAGTGGCTTTTGTGTATCAGCAGCAGGATGGAGGCAGATGGCCCTCGTGCTTTGCTTTAATGAAATAGTTTACATCATTAATCAATTTTCATCAACATGCCTTTAAAATAGATCCAACTCTTAATGCAGAACTATTTTTGTATATTTATTAAAATTAAAATTTTAATCTCTATTGATACAGTCTGTTTGAAAAGGCATAATTGAAAGAAGAAAAAAGTATTGTTGGTTTTTTCAGTTTCTGCATCCCTTTCAGAATATCAGGTTTCCATAAAATTATGGTTTAAGAACAGAGATATTTTGTGTACAATTCATATAAGGTGATCATAATTAAAGTTCAGAGTACCCAATAGCTGTCAGTGGTTAGTGAATTGGCAACAAAATTTATACAGGGTGCCCACTAAGATCTGGTACTACCCATTTAACTGCCAAATGGCTGCAACTTTAGTCATAAAAGGGGTGTCTAGGTATAGTAAAGTGACTGTGTGGTACTAGATGAGATAGCGTACAGTGCCACCTTTTGGAAAATGGCAGAGTTAGCATCTTTACCTCAAAAACAATATGAGATAGGAAGAAAAAGTGAATTAAAAAGTTTTAGAGCATCGTTGATTTAGTGCAAAAAGACACTTTGTGGATCTGAATGCTAAAAATAGAAAGCTGAAAATGCACATTTGTTTTTTCTTGATTTCCATAACTGTGATATCATGAAACTTGAACGAAAGGAGAAAAGATTATCTTTTGGACGGAAAATGAACTCACGTTGCGGCACAGTAGTATTGCTTGCAATTTACAATCGAGGGACTGTGGTTCAACCCCCGCGGGGTGTATCCTTGTCCTGATTGTCTTTATGAACAGTGTAGACAATATGCAGATCATGCACAATCATGTCATAAAATGCATCAACTCAATGCAAAAGAATCATTACACCTGTTCACCTGAGACAGCTATAAAAGACATCTTCCTGGGGTTGTGTGTTGAAGATCATATGGTCATGGAGCGATTTTCTAAAAATGATTATTGTGAGATGGTTCTGCTTTATGGTGAATAGGGGTGCAAGGCATGATCGGAACCGCGGTTATATCAGCCACATTTTCCTGCAGGCGTGCATCCTTCATACAAAACCATCCTACAGGTTGTGAAACGTTTAAGGAGGCAAGGCAAGCTGCGTGACTAGCCGACTTCAGTTAAGCAGACCAGCTAAGGTAGGTGAAAAGTACAACCGGAAGAAGTCTTATTGTACACCCTCAAATATCCAAATAGCAGCATGAAAACATTAGCCTTTCAAAAAAAAAAAAAAAAAAAAAATCCAAAAAAAATCATGTTTGGAAAATCCTAAATGAATTAGGTGCTCATCCATACCGGCTAATACCTGATCAGGCATTACTGGACAGGGATGCCGATAGACGTTTCGCATGGTGCGACTTCATCATGACCCAGATAAAGGTCCAACCAGCATTCTTGGTAGACATAGTGTGGACGGATGAGGCATGCTTTTCACAGAATGAAATGTAAAATAAGCAGAACACCCATTTACTGGGCGTTGGAAAATCCATCATGTTCTGCCGACGTTTGACATCAAATACCATTTTCGACTAACGTTTGGTGTGGAATTATAATAACAGGCTAATTGGCCCAATATTTTATCAGGGTATGTTAATGGCTGCATTATATTTAGAACTTCTGCAAGATGTAATGTTGTTGTTGAAAGAACCTGTTATTGCTTCAGCTCTAGAATGGATGGTTCCAACATGATGGTGTGCTTGCACAGAAGACATCACAAGTGAAACAGTACCTGATGGAGAAATTCGAAGAACAAATAATCGTGTATGGTGTTTTTGAAGAGTGGCCTCCATGTTCATCTGATCTGACTTGAGTGGACTTTTACCTGTAGAGATACTGCAAACAGCAGGTGTATGCGAACCATCCACAAGCGTTGCAGGACCATCAACGACGTATCACCTGCTATGTTATAACACATTCAACATGCAAGCTCTAATAAGAGTCCAGATGTACATTTCAGCTGATGGAGAGAAGTTAGAACATCGAAAATAAAGGTAGCTTGTGATAACAAGTCCCCCGCCCCAAGATTGTTTCGTCATGTCACAGTGTAAGAAATTGCAAACACATGTTTAAACTGTTCTGTTCTTAACATTCATGTTCACGGGGTGTGTTTTCATGTTAAACTGATGATGCTGTACAGCTTTGTAATTAACTTTTTTCTTCCTATCTCGTATTGTTTTCGAGATAGGTACATTAACTCCACTGTTGTCCACCAGGTTGCACTCTAAGCTATCTCATCTAGTAGCACATAGCCACTTTAATATACCTAGGCACCACTTTTATGACTATAGCAGCAGCCATTCGGCAGTTAAATAGGTGGTACCGGACTTCATTGGGCACCCTGCATATCCATTTTTCATTGTAAAATATAGAAAAAAGATCATATTAAATAATTGAGTTCCTAGAAAACATTTTAAATATTTTTTTATTGTAGTTTCAAGTATTATGATTAAAAAGGAAAAAAGGAGGAAAGTTAAGACATTTTGCTGTGGGACAGAGTCTTCATAAGCTGTTTCAAAAATGATTATGTGTTTCATAACTGGAAAATTAGAAATTCAATTTGTAAATATTTGATTCACTGTTATTGTGAAGGTGTAATGATTACTTTCAGTAGCATATTACAATCAATGAAAGATTGTACTGTTTCTAGTTGTACATATGCAGTATTTAGCTAATTAGGCATCATGTTAAGTTCAGTATGGAAAGTGTCACAAAGGTATACCCCCTTCCGTTCAGCCACAACTAATGGCTGTGTTGCGATGAAATGAATCAATGACTCATCTTCAGGATGATTTTTCTAGCCATGATTCTGTTGATGTATCATGCTCAGGAACTATCTTTTGGAGTGAAAAGGGTCATTTTTATCTGAATGGTATTATGACCATTCAGAAATTGTACATTTAAGCTAATGAAAATGTTTATTTTATAGGAAATGCCTTTGCATTTCTTTTAGCCTGGTGTGGATTCATTTCTAAATTTGGTACTATTCGGTTTCGAGGGCCGTAAAAAATCGCCAAACTTTTGTTGATGCCAATTCTGCAAAAAGTAATTGCGGCAACCCTAACACAAGAAAGGAAGTATAATAGTAAATAACTATCTAATATTGATGTTTTAATTTAGATGAAAGTTTAAGTTGATATAATATTTCGCTACCGAGTTATCGCTAAAGCATAATGTCATCTCGTTGGTTGTGCAAACATAATTTTCTATAAATGAATGATGCCTTTTCTTTGAAAAAAACATTCTCGGTAAAGTGCAGAATCGCCCACTTATTTGTTTGCCGCTTTTACAAGGGAAAAAACAATTGGAATTTTTGTCATTTTCTTTTACTTTTTAAGTGACAATAGGTTGATGTGTTACATAGATAAAGTCAAGGGGTGTGCGCAGTGCCATTTTTGTGCAATTCTGGGATTTTTTTTTAAGTGAAAATAAGTCGATGTGCACATGGATACCGAGTATTTGCAATTCTTAAAAAAACGCGTCAAGCAGTGGGTGATTCTGCACTTTACCCAATATTCTATCGCAGACTTTTCATCATGGGCAATTCCCAAATTATTAAATCCATAGGTTATCAAAAAAGGAATTAAAAATTAAACTAGTATTTCAATGGCGTATTAAGAAATATAGAACTATATAAACTTATGCAATCTGAAATCAGCCCGTACGCTAGATTTGGCACGCTGTTAAATGGGCGTGTTTGCTAGATTTGGTGCTTTCGCGCATACATTTTCGCTGGAATTTTTTTACGGCCCTCAAAACCAAATAGTACCCTAAATTTATCCCGCAGCATGTTGGGCAATGTCCAATAGATACCATAACATAGTGGAGGAGGTTTTACCACAATTGCAATAACAACATTGCATGCCACCTGTCAGTTTTTATGCAAGACATTGAATTTATTGGACGTCACACACGTTAATTTCTTTGCAGACATTTTTCTGGTGAGCATATCATCAAATGCTCACTTCTTGCTGCTTGATTATCAGATTTGATTTATTCATTTACATGTCAGAGAACCTGCTTGAATATTGTTTATTCTGGTAGTATTGTGATTTTGGTTAGAATTTGATGCACTATGTCTTACTACATATGAAAATCATAATAAAGGATAAATTGTTGAACATGCTGTTCATCACCTTATTTAAATTCAAGATGGAGAAAATGTTAAGTAAATTCTTTAGATACTCTGTATGAATATATCTGGTGTTTGATGCTGTGAAACATTAGTGGTATGTTCATGAATGTCACTCCATGCATTTATACTCCTGTAAATCACTCCATGAATTTATACAAATTAGATTGTGTTTTCTTTGCTTGTAGCTTTCATATTTCTTTCTGTGATTTCATTCATAATGCTAGTGAAGGCTTTAATAAATGTGACTTTTTCCAGTTTCTTTAATTTATTATTATTTTTCTGTATCTTAGCATAAAGTATTCCTTAATCTCAATTACCCAGAATCTCATTTTGTATACTAATACTATATGTATACTTTATGTATGAACTTTACCCTTTGCTGGTTGCAGGTGCAAAATGTTTTAAACGGGCCAAATTTAATTGCAGTGATCCAGCACTCAAATCTTTTGTAATCAGTTATTATTAACTAACATGCTTAATTTATCTAGTATCATTAGAATGTGTGAAACTTACTTGTTTATTATAGAAATTTTTAAGTTAATTTTGAAAAAGCTAATTCAGCTTTTTTAAGGAAGCTGAACAACCCTTTGTTTTTATTCATATTTGAATTGGCAAATTTGAAAATTGTGGTTCTTAGTTCTGTCTCTAGTAATATATGATTAATGGTGTCAAGTGTAAGGTATTTTCCAAATTACATAATCTTCCTTTTAAACTTTTGTAGTCTATTAAGCAGTTTTGTTAAATACACGATAATGATACTTAAAAACCATTTTGTTAATCTACCCTCTTCTTATGATGTGTTGAATTTGCAGTTCTATTAGATTTTATCAGTTTATCATATCTTACCTCTGAACTTTTATTCTAGTGTTGGAAACATTAACTGCCTTTATAGATGTTGTGTAAAGCATCATATTTTTTATACATTGCAGTGCTCATAATATCATTGCTCATAATTATTTTTTATACGTTTTGTTGTTTTCTTCATTAAAATCATAGCTGACTGTTCAATCTAATAAATATTGTTTTCTTTTTATATATAATTTGTTTTTAATTCCAGATTTATTGCTGTAGTTTTAACAATTCTTGAAACATCATTTGCTGTTAATATTTACTTGGATTTTATCATCAAGTAAGTTCTTTTACAGTAATTTGATCCCTCTCTTTGAACCTTATTGTTGTAAAATAACTTAGCCACAAGAATATTTGTTCTTCTCCTTTATAATGTTAAATAAATATTTGCAGCAAACATATTTCTTGTAATAGTTACATTATATAGTCAAAGTTTACCCCTTACTGCTCACACTTGTCAATATCAAGGATGTATGTTTTATTCCTATATCTCATACCTATGAAATTGCTAAACTGAAAAGTTAAAGAAGTTACATATTAAACAGTACAAATTCCTAATTATATATCATGCTTGATAGTTTAGATCTTGTTCAAAAAATTAGATGCAGAATGGATTTGTATATGATTTATTTTAGCAGATAATGCTAGATTTAGGCAGTTTGGAGATTACTGTAGTGCTTTATAAAGTCAGGTGATAGACGTTTCTAAAATAAAAATTGTGGTATTGATGTATCCAGCAGGGAGTCAGAGATAAATGTATTTTGTATGATACAGGTAATGAATTTGAAGACCCTAGTAATGGAGCCATATTCTTATCTTGATGCAAAGGGCAGTTTCATTTACCTACTGCTATAGATCATAAAAATATTTTTTATAATATAATATTCATCACAGAAATGTTTAAGTATCTAAAAATATTAGAAAACAGCATAATTTTATAGTGTTATGTGTATAGAAAACCCAACATTTAGGTCTTTTTCGTAAAATTTCATGTCTTCCCCCATATCATCTCAGTATTTATCTTCAAAATAATCACGTAATTCATTTGAAAACTGAATCATTGTTTAGTTTCATCAATAAAAATTTTTGATATGTCTGGCACATAACTAACTGCCTTTGGCAGAATAGCAGTGAGCTTTAAGTAAACTATCACTTCCGGTTGATCACTTGTAAATAAAATTTTTATTTATTTATGACTCATTATTAATTATAAACACTATTCTTTTGTTATTGTTCTGTTCTTCCATACAGTGGACAGTGATAACTATATGTGCTCATGGGCATATCCGTTCACATGCTTTGATTTGGAAATATCCCATAGATTTGTAGTTTAACCTCTGGCTATATAATGTTTTGGATTCACAAATCAATGAGTTAACAGTTATAAGATTTTTGAAGTGGCATATCTTTAAAATGTAAAAGCAGGATATCTTTAAAATTCCCATTCAAGTATTGCCATACATTTCATTTCCAGTCATCTCTTGGTTTATGATATCGGCATATTAAGTTTCCTTAGTAAGATGACCAATTTCTTTCTGTGTCATTTTAGCTTTATTTATTAAAAATCATTTTCTTTGTGCCTATAAAACTCAAAATTCAATAATGAAGTCACAAAATTTTTTAAATCAGCATCTTTTAGAATTTCAAATAGAATATTAATTGTTGCCATGCATTTTTTTAATATTCGCTATATTATTTACATTTACTACATTAGTACTTTAAAAATAATACATAGTGATAAGATTTAATAGCAGCAACTATTTATTTGAAAAGTGATTCAACACAAAAGTTGAAACAAACTCAGAATTGAAGATTGAGGCTAACACATTTAATTGCTTCATAATAAGAGCTCATGTTTATCATGAGCTTATTCTCAGTTTATTTAGCATAATACCAAAGATTCATTTAATGCTTATAAATGTAATATGTTGGTCCCCATCACATTCCTATTTTGAATACCAAATTTGAGAAGCTTTGGATTATCTCATAATATATTTTTTTACGTAAGTCTGTAAGAGCTTCAAATGAAGTATCATTTCCGATTGATCAGTTTTAGCCAAATACCAGTATTCTTTTTTTGGGGGGGGGCATTATATAAGTCTTAATAATAAATATTAAAAGTGAAATTTTTTGATTATATGTTTAATACAGTTTTTGATTGAAAAGTGTTATGGGCTTCAAGTGAAGTACCACTTCCGATTATTTATGAAAGGCTGTTAGGTGCTTGACATACACTTCCAGTTGTTAAGTTTGACCCAAAACGAAAAAAGTTGTTACACTCTTAAAGGCATGCAGACATCATTGTAAAATTGTGTTGTGCGAACCCTAATTTGAGTTTATATACTGAAAACTCACTATTGGATTTTTGGATCGAAAACATTATTTATGTATAGGCTGACGGAAGGTAAAAAGTGTATTTGTCTAGTCATTGGGTTTGCTGAGACGGGAACTATGAAAAACATGCAATGGCCTTGCCAGGAATTAAAGTCTGAACTCTCAAATGCCAGGAATTGAAGTCCAGAACTTCAGACATGGTTCCTATCACATCACAAAAGCACATGGTTAGGAAAAGAAAATATTGTACATTCTTCACTTGACAACTAGGGAGGAGGAGACATAGTTGCTAAATACTGGTAGTGATAAATTCTAGTTCACCTCATTTTTGTTTGGGTGCCACTGCAGAGCATATATTTCTATCTTGATAGTCAAGATTTTTATATTTTTTGGAGATGGAAAACTGAGAGAAATTGCCTTTGCTGGAATTTGAACTCCAGGCCTACCAATTGGTAGTTGTGCATATCTCCAGTACATCATGAAGGAAGGTGGTAAGAAAGGATAAAATACCTTATATATTTTTATGAGATGCCAGTACAAGTTTTAGAGAAAAACCATTTAAATCATTTTACCATCACCTTTTTTATCATTTTATTTGAAAAGGGAAATTTTGGAAGGTTCCAAAACTGTTTTATTTGTATACATGCAGTTATTAGAAGAGACTTGATAACCAATGTAATTATCTGGAAAGGAAAGTAGTTAAAAAATCCAGAAGATATTTTAACACTGTAGTTTATCATGGTTTTCATATGTATTTGTATTAAAATTTTTCTAAATTTCATTATTTTAAATTCTAGATCTATTATGCATGCAACTGTTAATAGGTATACTTTCTACACATTTCAGAAAACTGAAGCAAAGCTAGTCTTCCAAAATCTATAAGTAGTTTAAAAAAAAGATATACAGTCAAAAGTCGTTAATTCGGACACCCATAATTCGGAATGATCTATAATCTGGACCTCAAAGCTACAAACTATCTGCACATGCGTCGCATTGATGCATGCGCGTAAGACCTTTAAGGCTGCGCATAATATGTTTACGCATACGCATTTAATGTATAGCGGACGGTATAAGCTAAAATTATCTAATTATCTATTTCAGTTAATGTTGCAGATTGCGTTGTTCCTTAATCTTCGAATTGGATCCGGCTTATTATTTTTTGCAGACTGTTAGAGCGATTTTATAAAAGTAAGCTTGAACTTTCGATTATGTCAAATAGAATTTCCAATGCTGGAGCGCCCAAAGGATATACAAAGCGAAAGTATGTTTCGATGTCCATCAAACAAAAAGTGGAATTGCTGCAAAAAATGGATAAAGGTATGAAGAAAGTGACAGAGAGGTTAGTGAAAACGAAAAAATTTCGATTGACAAGTAGTCGGTATTCTAGGCACAGCAATTACAGGACTTGAACAGCGGAACTTTGTAACTGAACAAGAAATTATGTCTGTTTATATAGAATTAAAGAGAAAGTATTAGCACATAAAACAAAGCAACTTAAACAACTTACATTGAAAGAAATGTTAAAGTAAACAATGAAATATTAAGGTGTTTTTTTTTTTTTTTTTTTTTTTTTTTTTTTTTTTTTTTGTAAATTTTGATACCTTTTAGATCATAATTGTTCTTTATTTCATAAATTATGGTTTCATATTTTTAATTTTAGAATTTCTGCATGCCATCTTACAAGATTTAAACTGATGATCTATAATCCGGAAAAATCGATAATTCGGAATTGCCAAAGTCCCGACGAGTCCGGATTAACGACTTTTGACTGTATTTTTTCGAAGTTTCTGTGATCAAGCTTTATTTTCAGAATACAAACACAGGATGACCCAAAACTACATCGAAAGTGTATTGCTAAATGCTTACATTGCATTTTTACTCTTTATTTCAGGTTATTAATCTGTTCCATATATTTGAAAGCAGATTAATGAATATTCATTGAGGAAGAGAGTAATTAGTTGCAAATCAGCAGTATATGAATCAAGAACTGTGGCTTGTTATCATGTTAAAAACAATAGGAGCAGGGGTAGAACAACAAATAAAAAATCAGAACATCTTAACATCACATTGAGTTCTTTAATGCTTTATCCAGTGTCATTTCATAGTTAATATTATTAGATTTTTAAAGCTTTTTATATTTGCATTATTGATATGTTGTATACTAATGGACTACTTTATCACATTTATAGGGATGATAAAAATTTATGCTTTCAGTGCTGGCAGCATATTCAGTGGTTTGATTTATGGAAGAAGACAATTTTATATTTTTTCTTGTCTATTTTTTGCTTTATAAAGCCTTATGAAATGTGGCTAGCTACAGTTGGAGGTAAATAAGATATATGTTCCTATTATGTTGTAACATTATATTAGACATACTTTATAATTCTATATATGAATAGGTCTTTGCCATACATTCTTTCAGTGCCATGGTACACAATGATTTGTCATACAAGTGCCATACCAAGAATGTAAATTCTTATTTGTGTGTGATTAAATGTTTTTGGGAAAAATTGATTTTTCCTGTCCTGATCATCATCACATGTATATTTTGTAATATTTTGGCATTAAATACAGTATCATTACAGTTTTTAATTCTATATTAGCTAATTCAGTCTCATTATATACAAAATACAGACTTATATACTTATACACATTTAATTCAGTACCCTTTAAATTAGGGGTCTTCAACCTTTTACGCCAGAGGGCAACATTAATAAATTCACAAAGATCCGCCGGCCACATGTCTGTCAAAAAAATAGTGTAGTCAGAAAGTTTATATAAAAAAGTGAGGTTTATTTTATAAGACTGCAATTGATTCTAAGCGAAGAGATAGTTTGATTACATTGATTGAATTGAAATTTGAAATTGAAGCTCAAATTGAAGTGATTTGTATATATACATTGGTTCCAAAAAGTTAAATGGAAATCGAATTAAAATGTTTTAAAATTTTTTTTAATATGAAAAAAGTATAAAGATGATTGTACAGAACGATGTTGCAAAATGCATTTGAAAAAAAAGGAGGGGGGGGGAACTTACATTACTGGCGGGAGATGGTAGTTACTTTAGTTTTAATGTGAAATATGACATTTTTTTGCTTGATTTAAGTTTTAATATCCGGTTTAATCTGTGTTGTTGCAATTCGTAAAGTTTCCTCCAAAGTTTCCTCTGTCTGTCAGCCGTGTTCTTGTTTTTGATTTTAGGATTTTCATTTTACAAAAAAGCTGTTAAAATATGTAGGTACTGCCAGAGATAAAAGACATGAAGAGTGCATGTTTATGAATTCCTGGATACTTTGTCTTCAGTCATGTACTTCAAATAAAAATCAATTAATGTAAGATTTTCAAGAAACTTGCATTTTACTGCAGCGCCACACTGTAAATCTATAAATTCTAATTGAAGTTCAGGTGGAACACATATTACATAAAATAAAGTGAAACTTTGAAAAGTTTGTAATTTTCAGAAATTTTTTTCCCAAATAATATCAGGCATGTCAATACAAAAATATCAAGAATAAGAGTTTTATATGACAAAAAGCTGACAACTGAATTTTTCTTCGAATTCAAATGTGGGTCCACTAAAATATCTTCAGCGGGCATCCCGTGGCCCGCAGGTCACGGGTTGAAGACCTCAAAGAAATGGGTACTTTGGAATTAGTCATCTCAGTCAATAGTCAAAATTGGAAGATTTAGTCTTCAAGCTTGGTAAATATAATCCTGAGATTTTTAACCTGCAATTTAATGAATCTAATTTTCAAACAGTTTTGATTTCGATTATTGTAATAACATCAATTCAGTAATTGTTTCCCTAAAATTTTAACTAATAATCAGAAAAAAAAAGAAAAAAAAGGAATTTCCTGTGATATTTGTAATATGCCATATTTTTGTTTTCATACTCACTTTTGACTGTGTTATCTTGTTCTGTCATTAATTACCTTCCTTTTATATGTTGGCAATTTTTAACATTCCATAAATTTTAAAATAAAAATTAGATTCTTCATGATGACATTATTCTTTTGCATTCATTATTAATTTTTCTCTAAAGTTTTGACTGTATTTAACTTACCATTTATGAGAAAAGAAGCAGTGAGAAATTTTTGCACTGAGCAAAAGTATAAAAATGGCCACCAATTATGTATAAGGAAGCTGTGCCAAAGAGTGAAACAAAACACAAAGAGGAACAACTCACCAACACAGCATATAAGATGAGACAAAATATTTGCTTCTTTAATAACAGCGGATGTTGAATTATCACCTCCACAAATGTAAATAAGTATTATTTCAGGTTAAATGTAAATAAATGTTACTGATTGTTAAATAAATAGGTATTTATATATTATACTGTCGGACTGTGAATATTGGCTAGCATCGAATCGTGAAAATTGGCTGAGATCCCATCAAAATTGCGACAGTTGTTTCTACAGAATTCTCAAGGAAAGGTACTGATGCTTTTTTAATTATTAGGCAATCAGTATTTGATCTGCTTCATTTTTATGTTTCTTAAAAGGCTTTCGTGGATTTTTACTGTTTTATTAGGCACTCCAGTTTTACAGAAGAACCGCCCAGGTGGTATAGTGGTTAGGGAAGCTTGACTGTGATATTGAAGGGCCCAAGTTTGAATCCCAGAGAAGGCATGGACGTAAAATTGTCTGTCCCTTTATAGGAGGTAATGGTGGCCACCTATTAGGTGCCTCCACAATCAAATGGCTACCACTTCAGTCCTTAGTAGTGGCCAATGCCGTTATAGGCAAGTGCCTGCCATTGGGGAAGAAAAATAGTTTTACAGAAAGCTCTGTTTAGAATGCTATTTCATGCAGATAATTGTTTTGATCTATTAATATTTTGTCGGCCGTACTCAGCTGACAGTACCCATTCATTAATACACATATTTTTTTATTATAGGATCCCATGACATTGAAAATATTCTGTTGCTTACTGTTCTACAGAAGGCAGGTTCCAAGTTCTAATAATTTTTTTTTTTTTTTTTTTTTGGAATACAAGAAAAACATTATAACAATTATTTTATGTCTTTGTTCATAGAATCAAAATGTGGGTTATTGAGAATCAACCAGGCTTTATCAAACAAAAGTGCAGGTATTATTAGTGTGTTAAGTCATTATTATCCGTAACTGATGCTAAATTGCACTGCTTGGCAACACAGTCGACAGAATAATACATAAGTACCGATAAATGTTATTTGTTATGTTCCCATATTAATGTTTTTTATTTTTTGAAATTTGCTTTACTGTTTTGTAATATTTTACCAAAATATGCTCTGGCTGCTTTAATACGGAAGTACCAAGAAATGTGCTTTTAACTGTATTCCTTGGGGAAGTATCATCCAGATTTATATTGACTTTTTTAGATTTAAAATTTTGATTCCTTGTCCTGAAATGACTTTTGAAAATGAAAATGAAATTTCAGGAAGTAAAAAAAGAATTTTGATAAACATTCATTGCTGTAGTTTTAAATTTAAATAAGAAAGAAGAATTTTAAATTTAATTAAGGAAGAAATAATTATTTCTTTATTCTGTTGCAGGGGTTCCTAACCCTATGCCTGTGGGCACCATGGCGCCCATGGATTGCTTAATGTGTGCTTGCTGTGTAATCGCAATAAAAATGTTTTAGTTTTCAATAAAATTCTATGTGAAAGTTTTCTCATTTTTAGCGAAATAGAAATTGCTTCCAACACAGATACCAGTACAAAATGAAATGCGACCGATCCAACTGTAAATTCACCTTGAAAAAGTAAATGGTTTCTGCCATCCAGCAGATATTCTAGAATGTGTTCTTATGGACAAAAGGGCTGGGAACCCCTGCTATATTGTAGTCAGACTATTTTATTGTAAAGAATACTTGGAAACTGTGAAGTCATTTAATGTTGAATTTTGTCTTTTATCAAAAAACAAAATTTTTTTTTAGGAAGCATGTTAATTGTATTAGCCTTATTATATCTCATCTTTACTTATAAAGTGCATCTAACAGAACAGGAAGCTTTACTGTATGATAAAGAATGTTCGTATGATAGGTATGTATTTTACAATCTCTTATAAATTTTATTAGTTTATTTTACAAATAATTGCAGCTTTTTTTGATAATTTTATTTACTCTGTAATTATGATATTCATCAAGTTATTATTTTATGAAAAATTTCGGTATTTTTTAAATGATTGTTGAAGTATAATAAAATTTGTATTTCAGTAATTAAAAGAGTCTTGAAAGATGAAATTTACAGATTACAGAATTACAAATAATTTTTTATTTCAGGTTACAAAATATAGGATGACAAATATTTTTGCATTTAAAAAATATTATTAACTGTATATATTGTCATTTAATTTGCTCAATTACTGATTAAATAATGTTGGGTTTATTGTTGTAAGTTTTTTGTACTTTTTGATTATCCACACCCTTACAGAAAAGCCATGGAAGAATACTGATGAAGCAATGAACTGTGTCACTGGTTATTTGTAATTATTTGTCTTAGCGTTATCACTACTGATATTTGAATTTGTTACCCGATAACTACTTTACGATAGTTTATAAGTTTGTGTCTATAAGTTAATAGTTTATAAGTTAACGCATTACTGAGCCAGCTTGGATTAAAATTAAATTGTTTAGTCTTTGACTACTAGTCCACATTTTTAGTTTGAATTTGACTATTCCTGTTTAATTGGATCACCATAACCTGTAGTAGATTTTGCTAGTATAAGAACATGCATTTATATTCTAAGGTCTTTTTAAATAAGAGGTTCATTTAAACCTTTATCTGACTTTGTAGTCATTTTCAGACATAGCGCTAATTTGCTTCACATCTGTCAGGGGTTTTGGACTATTTAGCTTTTATCAGATCAAGTAAAACCTCATAGGTACATAATCAAGAGATTGACAAGTTAGGAGATAAAACACACAAAAACTAGTGGGAATATTAGTTTGCATATAGAAACAAATTTCTGATTGTTAGAAAAGATGCTTAAAGAGAAGGAAATTGATATAAATTAGCCAGAATGTCTGGTAAAGCTTCATATTAAAATGATGCACAAATATCGTTTAAGAATATCGAGTTATTGCCTTTGATTAATCTTTACCTTGATCACCAGATATAGCACAAAAATGTAAAAGTTAATGTAAATTTTAATTCTTTGCATCTGTTGAGACATAAAATAATACAAAACAACTTATCACCTCTGGTGCTTTAATGGCTTATCCGAACCTTAAAATACATTAACTGGGTTATAACCCTGGTCTTTTGTGACTGTTTACATTTCTTTCATCAATCTATTTAAACCAAATTCTGTGCACAGAATATTCTACATATGTTTCAACAGCGATATGACAGTAAGAGTAACCAGCCATATTTAAGCAGAACTGGCTACAATGTTGTTATTAGGCATCTGTTTGTCACTTCTTCAGTCTTTTGGAATGTTGAACTTCTTAAAATTGTGGATTTCATAAGCAGCAGAGAGTGGCAAATGTTCATTTGTCCCTTCCCCTTTATCTTCCACTATAATCACGTGGCCAACTTGCATCTTACATCATCTGCATAACTTGTTTCGCTACTTATCCCCGTATGTAGCATTCAATTTACATATGTATACTGCTGAATCTTCATGGTGTTGCATTTTCTATGTCAGGTAGTGTGTATACTTTTATGTATCTTTTCATATTATGTATGTATTGTACTTACTTTTATTGATCTTTTTATATTATGTGTGTTTTTGCTAATTTTCACATTTTCTTAATTAAATTGTAATTTATTTTTCATAGATTTGAAGATCTTCAAGATGAAATCGATGACAGCCTTCCTGAACCTAACTGTAATAACGTTGGTGATCAGGACACAATACTTCGTGTGTGATTAATTTTTGCCTTCAGAAGTATAAAAGTAAATAATGCAATAAGCATTTTATGCTTTTCCATGTGTGGTGAAATAATGAAATGCTATCTGTGCTTGCCTTTTGATGCCTTCCATTTTTGAAAGCCCATTCTATTGGACTTTTTTTTTTTTTTAATTTGTGCAAAGCATGGACTATATGTCAGTCTGAAACTTCATCGAAAAATCTCAATTTTATGTAAATGAGACATTTTCCTTCTTGCTGTATAATATTGAATTCTTTTTTTAGTCTTACTCAAAATGCTTTATTTTCTGTATTTTTTCCCAGATATTTCGAGTTACTTTTTATTTTTTAAATGTATGAGTGTGCATTTAAAATGCATTTTTTATTTGCTATATTAATTTTTAATGGTTATATCCAATTAATGTTGTTGTGATTAAACAGTCATTGAAATTACAGAAATTTGCTCAAATGAGAGTTTGAGTTTAAGATTTTATTTTGTGTATTTCATTTCATTCTGTGATTTAGTTAAGAAGTAATAATTGAATGAAAAAATAAGAAAAACTGATAACATTGCTCTTGATAACACTAAAAGATCAGTCTCGTTTATTAACAACTATCAAGCAAAATTCCGCTGTCAAACAATTTAACTTTCTATCATATTATGAGATATAAGTATAGATAACACATTGAAAATGATCATCAATTAACAGAAACGCATTTTCAAAGTGTTAATTTTTTTTTTTTTTTCAAATGCATAAAATTTTATCTCAGTAGAATTATTTTTCAGTGTCTAGGTTTGGTATTTTTATCAAATTCTTTTGTTGGAAATATTCACCATTTTTTGCCTTTTTTAATAATTAGACCTACTTTGCAATATTATACCTTATGTTAATATTAATATTCCCCTTAATACAGATCCTCTTAATTTTATCTGTTAAAGTAAAATCTGAATTACTTCAAAATTCCCTAGAAATGTAATTAACTGTGGAAATTAAGAGCTTCCTAATTGAATTGACAGGGTGTGCCTTTGTTTTAAAATGTTGTTTATATTTGTGTCACTGATAGTTGTGATTTTTGTAAATATTAGTTTTAACTGCCATTTCTGTAGCAATTAGAACTTATTAATATTGCTCTGTTCTAAAATTTAAAAGGAATAGTATAGAGCAGCAGTTTTGGATGTAGTTGTTTTGATACTCAGCGCTTGGTGTGCATCCATAAATGCAGATTTTCATCTCACCAGTTAATGAAACTTTATTCATTATAATTCTTGGAAATGCAGCTAGGGGCATGAAGGATTAAAAATAATTTCTGTGATTATTATTATAAGTTTTGTTTTAGAGCACTGTTAGAAGAATTCCTATTTGTTTGCCAAAAATATTTTTATTGGTGTTTTGAAATAGTTAATGTTTTTACTTCATTGTGGTATAGAAGGAAAGTATAGGATATCCCTGTCCCCCGAGAAATTTGCTCAAAAAATAGGAAAAAACGTAGCATAAATTTGCTTTTTCAAATACAGAAGGATTACAGATTTTTAGTCTTCCTACTTCTTTTCTTCCTTTCTATTCTGTTTGACGTGTTATCTTCTTTTTTATTCTCTTATTAACTTGGGAAATACGATGATTTGCAAGGGATACTGTACTACGTATTTGTAGTAGTCTGCAAAAATAAAAACTTTGTTGCAGCTTGCTTGTGTGCTTGTCAATAAGAGAAGTGCACTAAAGATGAGATTTGCAATTGGTTTTAGAATATCAACATTTAATTAGCGAGCTGACATAGTAAATTATCCCAATAGTCTACATACAGTCTTAGGTGAATGACTACAGCTATGGAAAAAAAATCGTACACCAATTTTATGTACTAAATTTTATTTCTGGTAAATGTAAAAGTGAAGTGTAATTTTAAATTATATTGTATTTAAAAATGTTTAATATATGTAAATATATGTTTAATATAATTTAGGGATTTTTCTTTAAGAATAATCTAGTATTGTAGCTTATGAAGCTCTTTTATGATAGTATTTTGAAACTACCATAAATTTAATATTATAAAATTGTATCAAAAAGTTCTCTGACAATCTAAATACTTTTTCTGATGTAACAAAATGTCAAAGTAATAAAATGTAGTAAATATGAACATACTTATCCAGAGTATTCCCCCCCCCTTATTTTGAGAAGCAAAATGCTTCAAAAAAAGAAGCGCACATATTTTCTGTAATTATTTTTACATGTCTTGGTCACATGCAGCTTGTGGCATTTTAGTCCTAGCAATATTTGAAACTATAGGTGATAAAATATCACATAGATGTTTTCTATTCAATTGCTCAGTTTATTAGTTTTAAAATGTTTTTAAGTTGATGTAGAATCTCATTTTTGGTATTTAAATGTTGTCTTTTTATACCTTTGTGACGTCCTAGTGTAATCAATTTTAAGAATTTTCGAAGAACTTGTATTTTGTTGTTAATGTGAATGTTTTAGTTTTCCCACTGTGTGTATTATTTAGTTTAATAACTTTTTTTTTTTCAATTTTAAACATATCAATGTGATATGTTATTGCATAGGAATGCAGCTTAATTTTGTTAATAATTTTATGTAAAATTTGTTTAACAATTCTGTTTAAATTCTCACTCTTGGGCTATTTGATATTATTATTGTTATTTATTGTAAACAGCACAAGCTGTGTATTATGAATGTAAAAAAGCAGCTGATAACTAAAAAATTTAGTGACACCTGGCAGTCCTTGTATATATATATATAAATTTTGCTTACATTTTATGTACTAAATCTTAGTCTATTAATATTAACCAGACTTTTGTAGTCTCATGTTAAGTTCTTTAAGTGGAATAAAGAGGAAAAATTATATTAATTTAGAACGAATTATTTACAGTATTATTTTTATGATATTTAACATCTTTTTATGCAGAATATGAATTCTGTGTATGCTATTTATAATGCAAATTTTTTTTTTGTTGTTTCAAAGGTAATGTGATCTGTAGTATTTTGCATTTTTTATAATTTTTATTGAATTAAATTTACCTAAAAAAAACTACCTAGTATAAAGTTTTTATTTTTTAAACATAAAATTATGCTGTGACCAAAGAAGTTTGAGTATATTATTTAATTAAATGCAACTTCCATTTGTAATTTAATTCTTGATGAAATATACATGTTAATTTGCTTTGACCTAAAAATTACATTTCATATATCTTGTTTAGGGACTGTAGGTTTGAAAATAAGAAATTTTTTTAAGTCTTTTGGTTTCTAAATTTTTGAAAATGAAACTTATTTTCACAGTTGATGTGTGTGTTAGAGATTTAAAATATATTTAAATGAAAAGTTAAATGTATTTAAATGTGTTTTCAATTTAAAAAATGTTTGGATTTGAGTTTGCTGTTTTCAAAAAATTCATTTTCATACATTTTAAAAATGATCTTTTCTTCCGAAATTGAATCATATTGATTGCTTATGAATTTTTTTAAGGATTTCAGTTAATAAGTTTGTCTTTAAGAAATTCGATGGCAAATTTAAATGCTGAAATCCATTTTATGATTCAAAATATGTATAAAATTACATGCATGTGTACAGATGAGAATGATTTCAATCATATTCTCTATTGAATAATTCAAAAGTGCTATATTAAATGGTAATCGTACATAAGTTTAATATTTCAACGTACATATTTGTTATTTTTAGCTTCATAATTGCTTCACCACATTGTGTAGTTGTTAATGAGGAATCATAAATGTATTCGACTTATTATACTAAATTATAAATGTAGTTGTTAATGAGGAATTATAAATTTATTATAAATGTATTTGACTAATACTTCTATAAAATTCAGAAACTATATCTACTGATGTTATTTCTAATGATTATTTCTTTTATGTATTTATTTATTTATTTTTTTTTTTAAATTTACTTTACTCTAATTTCTTCAGATTCCTTTATATATGTGATATGTTGTTATTTGTAAAAATTTGTTGAATGGTGTATATTCTATTTTAAAGGTTAAAATTTATTCATATGTAAAAATTAAATGTATAAATTACAACTTAAGTTTCAACTTTTATTTTTGCATTATTTCCCCTTATTTTCATACAGTAACTAATATAAGTATCAGGGATTTATTTTGTGATTTTTGCAGATCTTTATGCTATATTTTTGTGATGGAGTTGAAATATGAAGAATAATTTCATTCTGGCCAGATTCAGTAGATTAGTTTTGAAGTCAGAATGCAAATTTCTTCTTTTCTTTTTCTTGGATAGAGCTTTTTTGTTTAATAAATTGATAATAAATTATTGCTGAATTGCAGATTAGTATACATTTATCTTCCATTTATTTACAAATTTATTAATGTCATCATCAAAAAATTGTAAACAAATTCAAAAATACTTTTATGTAGTCTTAAGATTTAGTCACCAGTTGTGTGAAAGAAACAGAATGTTTCAAAACTAGCATAGCTTTTTAAAGCTTCATTTTAGATATCTGCATAAACAAATGAAATTCCATTCTTCTGTTAATTTAAGAAAAGGAAGTTTAATGTAAGAATCTTACTGAATTTGAATGAAAAAATATTTATATGTGCGGGTTTCTTTACACTGTCATATTTAAAAAACATGGAATTATTTTCTCTTTCTACCATTATTGTGTTATAAAATCATCTCATATCATCCATAAAATAGGCATGTTGTGCAAAGATCATGTTGTATAATGATGTAAATAATTTTACTTCAAATTTTCATGTTTTCGTATATAGAAGTAGTTCTTTAGGGTTAATAGAAGTTCTGTGCTTTCAAATGCAACATAAAATATCTTTGGGAGTTTAAAAAAGTTTTAGATTGCATTTATTGTAAATTCCATAGAGAATTTCTGATGATTTTTAAATGATGTGGAGCAAAATAGGAGTATTTTTTCCATTATTCTTGGCCATAGTTTTAGTTCCAGGAAACTGAAATTTCAATCACTGAAATATATTTTTCAAGCATATTTGATATTACCATATCCAGAAAATAATTCGTACTTTACTGGCTGTTTCTGTGTGTATTTCCAAGTTAAACAATAAATTAAAAATATTACTTATATGATTTTTTGAAAAGTTTAAATATTACTTATATAATAAATATTATATAATTTTTTGAGTGTTCAGATGGTTTCTGGATTTTTTAATAATTTCATTACTGTATTTTAAACTTTTGGGTAGGATCCTTTGGCTTTGAAGCTTTGCTTTCCCTATATGCATGAACATAAAATTATTGGAGACAGCATTCTTCATTGCTTACAGCATAACTTGTTGAAATGACAGAAACATATTATCCAGCATTTTCGGGGAAAATATTGTCAAAGGCTATGTTTACTGTTTCTGTGGCATCTCTTCTGCTTCACCTTGGCAGTGATTTTCAGAAGCATGTTTCTAAATTCTTGATATGATCATTCTATTGCACTTAAATTGTTTTGCACCTTTCTGTAACTTTTCATTGTAATTTCATCGTAATTGCACCTTTCTGTAACTTTTCATTTTCTTTTGATGCGTCTAAAACTGGACAATCGCAACTCGATCTTTAGCTTAATTTTTTTTTCTTCATCTTACAGTGAGTTGATATACAACTGAAATAAAATAATTGATTTTTATCAGCAGATAAAATTAGGAAAATAGGTATAATTCGTAATAATTATGTTAACCTAAAAATTAAAAGATGTCTCAAAACAAATGACTGATGTTGTGAAACATTGATTGTGATTAAAGACTTTGAAGTTTTGCACTACAGTGTAATTTACAGCTGCATTCGCTAATAATTCCCATTTAAATATTCACTTGCTACTATTATTTATGGGGCAGAGGAAGTATTATTCTACACATTCTGGGAAGCATACAAAAATGAAATAATTTTTGGTAAAGAAACACTTATTATATTAGGTATTGTTAGGAAATTGGAATTACAAATTAATTGGGAGATAATTTATATCAGTTTGTAAAGATTTTGTATAATATTTGAGTGACAATATTTTGTTTCAAAATCATGTTCATAAACTTTTATAAAATATTATTTTGCATTACTAAAGCATAGATGTTTTTATAAGTGGCTTTGTTTTATTCCTTTTTGTAAACAATTTTAATTACCTTCTTAGTATAATTAAATCCAATTATCCATGAAATTTTCATATTTCTTGATATTTATTTAGATATAGTCATAAAAAAACTTTATGAATGTATTTCTGTTCTGATCAAAGTAATTCAAGTCTTGGTTGCCTAGCTTTTTATTTCTGCATCCAAACTTTGCAAAGATTGGGCGAAAATTTTTATAGAGTTTTAAATATGAAGTATGATAAGAATTACTGTATTCTGCTTGCAGTAGTATTAATTTATTTTAGGCTCTTTTATTTTGATAATTTAAAAAAAAGAAAAAGAAAGCTGAATAAACTTTAAATGTTTTGGAGCTTATTTATTAAAAATAAGGTATTTCAATTCCTTTCAATTTGTTGACTTGTATATTGTTTTCTGTGTATGTAAACTGTGATATGAAAACACATTTGTTGTCTTTCTTCTTATGTCTGCTATATAATAATGTTGTTTTTCTTTTTTTATGTCTGATATATAATAATGTTGTTAATGTTGTCTTTCTTCTTATGTCTGCTATATAATAATGTTGTTAATTTTATAAGGTAAGATAGGGAGTTCTTTTGCAATCTTTTCTTGATGGTGTAAAAGCTTTTGCATAAATTAGTATCGTTCTGAAAATCCAAATAAAACTGCCATGAAGAGAAAATTATAGCTATATGAAATTGCACTGCTAGAAATTAAGATTTTGACTAGAACAAAACTTGGGAATTTTTGGTGTGAAGTAAAAATTTTAGTGTAGATAATTTGGATTAAATATGGAAAATCTTATAATAACGTGTTAGCCAAAGTTGAACTCTTTTTATCCATACTAAAGTGGCAAAAGTATTTCAAATTATTTTTGAGGGAAAGGAAAAATGATGGGAACTATTTTGAGCAGCGAAAGATAGAAATTAATACATACAATGTTAAGCAAAAGAATTTAAAATAAAATATATCTTCTTTCAATCTTTTTTTCTTAAAAGATTTTGAGTAACTTTGTCATATTTCATATTTAAAGAGTAGTGTACTAACTGCCATCACTTTGTTCAATGAAATGTATAATAATTTGATGTAAAACAGTTGTTAATCTGTTATTGTATCTACAAAACTGTAGTATAGTATATTCTGTTTAAATCGTATTGCATTTAAATTAAATTTATTATAGAAATGTTCATTAAATATGCTGTTATTTTGTTGATTCAAAGCTTCAAATTTTTATTTGAAGGTTTAAGTTTCATGTTTGTCATACAAAGGAAGTCTTTTGTAAATATTTCTAATTTGATATTCTTCCCTGATAAAGTAAATAAAGAGCTTCGTAGTTAACGGTGTTTTGTAATGTACAGGGTTATGTAGTAGTTTTTGGCAGTAATATAATTATTTGTGATTGTTAATAAACCAAAAAATGATAACTTTGCTTTTCAAGGTGATATAATTTATTGAATATGAATAGCAAAAATATATATATATTTTTTTATTTTGCATTATAGTTCACTGCTGTGTTTAGTAAATTTTGAACTTTAATACACAGTTTGATAATTGCTAAGGAACAAAGATGTTTTTCAGAATAATTAATATTGGCCATTAATTAAAGAAATGAAACTTAGTAAAGCTCCTTTTTTTTTTTAAAATACAAAATATTACAAATTTCATCCATTGAAAAATGAGATAAAAGAAATACTTGGAGTAATTTCAGATAGTTTTGGAAAGCACTCCATCCCACCAGAATGATGACAAATATGTAAGGCACTAATGCATATTTTGCATGAAACTGTGGCAAAGAATATGGGAATACTATAAAGAGAATATGAACTCCTGCATGGTTTGAGGAGGGTGATTTCTTTGTGCTCTGTGGTATTTAAGTGTGGTGAATAATGCAGGATGTTCCATGCATATAGTATCTTGCTTTTTCAGAATTCTTCAGTTCTCCTGTCTGGTATATATTGTTATTCATGAGCAGAAGATCTGACCAGCATTTCACAGAAAAGGCAAACATTTGCTTAGGAGAATTTTGGTGCAATATCCCGGGGTTTTAACAGAACATACATCAGATGAACTGGAGCTATTCCAATGTGCACAATGTCTGCATGCACAGAAACTTTTATGACTGAAACAATCAGCTTCATGAATAATTAATTATAGTAACGAATTCTTTTTTTTTTTTTTTTTTTCTTCACACTAGCTGGTTCAGTTTCAGTGTTGATGGTGAATTGGGAGCCACCTGAAAACATCCCCCTTGACCACTGTGTTTGAGCCTAGTGAATATGTTCATTACTGTTATCAGTATGCATATAACATGTTTCTCTTTACACATGCTAACATGACTTAATTGAGAAACAGTTGTGGTAGATATGCACATACCAGTAGCAGTTGTAAGGTCAGCAACCATCTGGCTAAGAGTAAGATTTTTCTTTTCTCCAGAAAGTGATCATATCTGTCTTCCTGAGATGTGGCACACCTTCCATGGCCACCAGGATGTTCTTGCAGAGCAGTTCCACTTTCAACAGCATTTTTAAACCTTATCATAATACTTTTTTTTATCATACCTGTTGCCATGGCAAGTTGAGTGACACTTTGCCATCTCTGAAGCTGACTAGCTGCTTATGTGATATTATAAACACTCAGATGTCATCTTAATAATCATTCTGCAATCGATATTTGCTATGAAAAATGAAAAAAATCTACAACACCCTCTTCAAAAACTTAGAATGTAGTTGTCCTGTCAATCTTCACTACTTGAAATTTGGATAAGTGTTCATGTGCACTGCCTTTTATGCAGATAAGAGGTTTTGCCATATATACTTACATTTCAACTACTGTATGGTGATCGAGAATATGTTTTGCATAAATGATTTGTTCCTTAGTATTTGTCAAGCAGTGTAAAAGTTATGTTTTATGTACCTTATTACACTTTTTTCATGAAAGGTTAGTGTAATTCTTCTTATTATTTAATTACTGTGGGTGCATTTTATAAATGTACTAATGTTATATAGATAATGATTTTAAATTCAGAGATAAGAAGATTGAATTTTAAATCATCTTTGAAAGGTTCATCTCTCCCTAGGAGCGTAATAAAAGTATTTCTGTTTTAAAAATATAAAAATCCAGTGTGAGTAATATGAAGAAGATTTTTATTTATTTGTATATTTTTCCTATTTCAAAATAGGTGTATTTTAAAAATTCAAAATGAAATGCTTTTTTTTTTTTTTTTTTTTTTTTTTTTTTTTTTTGTTGTTTGTAATGTGGATATAGTACTAAAAAAACATTTTCTGTTCTAAACAAAGTTGCTTAAACACAGCAAAACATGTATTTCTATTATTATGCAAGAAACCATCTGTGTGTTTCTTATTATAACATGCCTTGAGTCTTTTAATGTATACATATGTGTATGTGATATAAAAATTGCAATCTAGTATCACTAATTTTTAATTATTAATTTCGGATCTCAAATATTTATAGTAAATAATACTGAAGCAGTTATGAGATAATTTTATAAAATTTTGAGCAATTAATAGTTAAAGTACATGCAGTTATATAATTATTCAACAATTTTCACACTGCACCAAGATTGAGATTGTACTTAACATAATTAATATAAGTGACTTTTATATTTTTTGCCTTTTTTTACATATATGAGTGACTTTTCACAGTTAGAGTCAGTTTTCAAGATATTTTGCCCTCCTTCATAATTTAAAATGTACCAATCATTAATTTAATAACTTAGTTTATTATTTCTATTTTTATCTATTTATATTATCCTGATGCCTTTTTGTTATGAAGGGAATAAATGTCTGTAGAAAAATACCTCTTTATAAAAAACATGTGTGATCTGAATTATGTTAAAAATAGTCTATAATAGAGTTTATTTGTAATAATTTATTTAATTTTTTTTCATATTTTGTATTATGATCTGAAATTTGGTGTTCTTAACAGCTTATTGAAAGTTATGTGTCACAGCTGCGTATAATTTTACCTGGTGTCATATTGTTAATTTATAAACCTAACAGTTATTATTACGTGTGAAGATGCTTTGCATATTGCCAAAAATTTGTTAGAAAAACAGTATTACACACTTGCCGAATATTGCTTAATAAATAAAAACATTTTTGAAATAAATAGAATGTTTCTACTCTTTCTTGTTAGTATATTTTTTCTCTATACTTTTTTAGACTTTCCTAAGTAACTAATCGAAAACAAACTTTCAGCTTTGGCATAAATTCGAAGCATAATTCTTACAGTAGTGTGACAGTGCAAAGGAAGTATCGTAAAAGCAATTTCAGAATGGTGTTTTAGCTAATTTGCTTGTAAGAACATTAAAATAACACCTGTAAGTATAGCAGCATGTATTTATGAAGATAAAAGTGCGAAGGTTGTTTGTCAAAGAAAGTCTGAAGAATATGGTTCTCTTTAGAAATTTTCTGCTTTTATGGAGAATTGTCTAAGGGATTCTGTTAGATTTATGTTGAATACGTTGTTAAATTATCTAACTTATTATATTAGTTGAAATCTGAGGGTCAAATTTTATGCTTTCAGTACTTTAATCCATTCAGCCACTGTTGAAAAGAAAGAATGTAGAGGGTGCTGCTTGGCAGCAGAATGAAGGTTCGTCCACCTAATAATAGGACAAGTGTAAATATGTGTATAAACGATATAATAAATGGTAAATGAAAATGAACTAATGAATGTTTTGTGTTCCTGTACGGACCGCCATGGTTTAATGCAGTTTTTTTATAGCCATCACTGAACACCATGTATATAAAAAGTAGAAAAATATTTTAAAAGCAGTCAAAACATTAACTTTTGGTTTTAATTTGTATTTCAAGGGAAATTAATCTTTTAACAGCCAAATACTTCAAATAGCACTTAATGATTGCCAAAAATAAAACTTTAAAATGCAATAGATGTACAAAATAACCATCGTATGCTTATAGTCTGTTGCTTTAGAATTGGCATTTCAAGGTTATTTCTTCTCTCCCAGCCATGGTAACAACTGTTGCGGGGGGGGGAGAGTCTAATCCTCTTATTTGCTAAAATTCCCCCTGTGTGGTGATGATGAAACTGGTTTTGATCGTTAATGAATAGATGGTCGCTATGACCTTGAAGAGCTTATTTTAAAGTAGCAGGTTAGGTTATTTGAATATGGCAAAGCCATGGGGCCTGTCCACTTAAGAGGATGGGTGCCTTTGTGGAGAACTTTCTGAAGGGAGCTGGCTCATATTCATGCTGCACATGGAAAAACCAACCATGCATCCAGCCTGTTTGAACCCAAAGATCGAAATATCAGTATTCAGTAATGTTAACCACTCGGCTTTTGGCTACGCCCCTTTTGTTTAGACACAGACAAGTCCTCAGAGTTAAAAGTGAATAATACTGTCTGTGTTAATAAGAAAAAATAATTGTTACATTATATTATTTGATCATGCCATTATCTTTCTAAGGAATCCTTTGGGATAGATTTTCTTATAGAAACTGGCTCACGTTATGTATGGAGAAAACCTTTAAAACGCTCTTGTATCTTTTCAGTTTGCCAGAAATTGAACCTCAATGAAACTACCAGTGCTTAACGGTCTTTCCTGCTCTCCCATTGAAGGGTACGAGTTGTTAGAGAATAGACTTTCATGAGAGGGGCCAATCAGATGGTTTATTGAAGTGAAAAGTTATCGATTTGCCATAAATTTAGTATTTTTATTAAAATCAGTATTTGTATATAGCTGCATACACGTCCATCAGTCGCCGAATGACCAGGGCCGTGAAATGCGGGTAGTTCTTCCAGGTAATTCTTAGCTTTCTATCATCTGTTACTGTACGCGATAGTTGCAAGAGATTTTTATGATAGTTCTCTTGTTCAACGTGAAAACACAGCTATTTCTTTTAAGAAAATTCTTCCACAAGGTATCTCTCCCCACTGCTAAGCATTAACCATATAGGCCACTTACGGCGTTTCATATTCACGAACAGGCGCCCAAGACCTGTACTGGGATACAGTTATAATTTGGGAAGTTGTTTTGCATAGCATTCAGCAATCGAATCAAAACTGGTTCTTCCTCCAGCGATGTAATCAAATCTTGACTTCTCGAATTAATTTCTGTTCAGGGGCGTAGCTAGAGTTTCCAGTGCCCGGCGACAACTGAAGAATTTGTGCCCCTTTCTGTGTGCCAAGAATGGAAAAAATTTCGTAGCATCAATTTGGCGCCTTGGGTATTTGGATGCTGCGCCCGGGGACAGATGCCCCCTTACCCCACTCTAGCTACGCCAGTGATTTCTGTCGTTGTCTGTTTAATATTAAGCTACCTTCTTGCCTTAGAAATGCTGATCTCAGCCTAACTTTCAGCTGTGTTGGACGGATTTTGTTATGCTCTGAAAAGCTTTATTGCAGGTTGCGTATAAATTGGTTCGAGAAAGTCAAAACTTATATCTTTTTGAAGCTCTTCTAAAACTGCGTTTAATGATGTAATTTTCATTTTTCTATCTACAACCTGTCAGGAGTTGTTTAATTTTGAAATAGGCAAATTGTAAGTTATTATTGTCTCAATAATGTCGTTCAATTGAATAGATCCACAGATATACCTATCAGGTAGGAATAAAACTCTGTTTTTTAACTATTATTTGCGATTGAAATTTTATAAACATATGTACTAGTATGCCTCATATCTGCACCTAGATTTTAACGCTTGAATAAAGTTTATAGGGCTAAGTACTTTGAAAAATAATTATATGTATGCCATCTTAAAGCTTAATTTCTTCTCTTTTTTAGCCAATATAGGTTTTATTAAAATATGTTCATAATTGGGAGGAATATTAATTAAATACTTAATTTCATTTAATATTTATTTTAAAGATTTTCTAAAGCATTGTTGTTAAACATGTAACATTAAACTGCACATGCCAATATTATGACTCTTAAATAAATTATTTGTACATTTGACTTTGATATATATGTGATGTACCAGCTTTAGTGGTAGCTTAAATTATCAGACGATAAGTTTTAAAAAAACAGGATCCATTTATTATTATTCAGTTGAAATAGCAGTTACAAAATCAGATATCCGGAGTAAATAAAAAGAATTACTAATAACTTTTTGTATGAAGTTTACTGTATCGTGACATTTAAGAAAAAGCTCCGATACCAAGTTCCAAGTAATTAATTTTTAATTTTTTTAAATTTTTAATTTTATTTTATTTAATTTTTAATTTTTTAATTATAAAAAGTTCCGATATTCTTTTGCGAGTCTTTTTATAGCCTCTGGAAAGCAGAGCTTCCAAGAAATGACGTAAGCCTCGTGAGCCAATCCCATTCTCTTTAAATATTTTCAGAACATTCTATAACTGTACGTGTAGAAAAGGCGGGAAAAACAACTTGACTACGGGGCTGTGGATTTAATTCCACGTACTTTCAAATAAGAGAACGTCGCCATTAAAAATGAAAGGAACATAGAGTTCCAATTTTAAGTGTATTCTTCACTATGGAATTTTATTATTACAAATATTTTTGTGTTAAAATGTTTTCATCTAATAAAACGAACCTAACTACTCAACTTTTGAAGCTGCAATTATAATTGTTTTCATTTTATTGTATATAAACTGACTGCATTTTATATATTAATCGGTGAATCTTTACATTATGGTAACTTGGCAATTTTTTGGCGAAACTTTGGCGGCCAACCCTGCTACTGCAACCTGCTAGTTTTTGTTTTGAACGCCATTTTGTTATCATGAAGTAAAGGCATGTTTTTATTTACTCAACATTTTTTCCAACAATCTGCTAACCGAATTACGCTTATACTAGAACTTTTATGGAACAAAAGTGCTTAATTATGACGAAGATTAGGTGCGAAATTGGGTGAAAGTGTAGAATCGCCCACTGCTTGCCGCGTTTTTAAGAATTGCATATACATGTAGACGTCGACCTATTTTCACTTAAAAAAAACCATCCCAGAATTGCACAAAAATGGCATTGCGCACACTCTTGACTTTATCCATGTACACATGGAAATAAAATGAAAACTATTTTCCCTTAAAAAGTCAAAGAAAATTGACAAAAATCCAATTCTTCTTACTCTTGTAAGCGCCAAACAAATAAGTGGGCGATTCTGCACTTTAGCAGCGAAATTGTTTCTAAGTGCTTATTAGCTAAAATCCCCATTGGAATTTTCCGGAAAATGTCACGTTACATGTCTCATGATCTCTCATTTCTCTGAGACAAAATAATCTGTGATTCGAACTGTGTACTTCTCAGATTATTGCTAAAGTCCTAGCTAGTAACCTTAATCGCCTTACCAAAATGTCGCCAAACTACCTGTTACCATATTCTAAAGATTAGCCTATTAATCTTCTATTGACTGAATTATTGTTTATATTATTCTACGTATTTCAATTGAAGCAAAATTTACCTTCATTGTGAAATCATACATGCTCTGTTAGAGTACTACTAAGTGAAAGACTTTACTTGTTTAAACTTAGTCATTATTAAGAAGTACTTTATTTCAACAATAATGCCTAGAGCTGCGTCTTCAAAAAATTCAGTGAGAAACTCTCCACCGATTCTTAATGATACAACTATGTACTCATTAATTGAACCAAGGACCGCTATCGAACAATTTGATCCTTCCAAACTACCAATATTATCTCCAGTGTCTGACCAAGACTTGACCAAGACCAAACGTTGACCAACACGATGAAGATCATTTCTCTACCTTCACGATCACTGACCAATGCGATCGTTAAAATAACGCACCCACTCCTGTACCAAACTCCGCAGCTTACGAAATCTACTCAAGATGTTTGGAAATAAGCAATTCCAGACACAGATCAAAATATGTACTACCCACAGGATTTACTCACAGCTCTATATTAAATGACTGTTTCTACAACTAGTGATTCTATCACTTCAGCCCCACAAGAACTTCACCAGAATTTCAGTTCAGCATGTTGCCTGCCCCATAAGAAAGACAGCAAATCCTTATTTATACACCAATAACGGAAGTGTACAATCAAAAGTACTCGTCAACAACTTGCGAATGTAGAGGAAAATAGATCAAACGTTATTGCAAATCAGGATAACGAAAAAGTACAACACCGACGTACATATGCCCAGGCATGCATTAAAATCAAAGCAAAATGATCCTGTATTCCTA